TTCTTTTCCATTTCTATTCTTTTTGAAATTTGAAATCAGCAATACGTTTTAAATTTCAAAATTTGTTTTCAAATTTTGGATGAAATTTCGTTTTGCTATTTTGGATTCCGGGTCTAGCCGCTGCCAATGGGAAAAGGAATTTCCCACGGATGGTTGTCACTAAGACCAGAAGAATCCCCCACGTTACAGTTGTCACCAGAACAGGAAATCCCTTCAATGGGGGACGCCTGTTCTGTGATAGAGGGGATTTCTTTTCACTTCCTGTTGAAAGGAAAGGAAGTGACAGAAAAAAAACATGGGCTCTAATCATTCCTTAATTTTTCCAAAACAAAAAAAACTTTGGATTTGGATACAATTGAAATCTCTGGAATTATGACTCGAAGAAAAGTTTGATACGTTGTTCACATTTTGCTGTTCCGTATTTTCGTTGTGGTATTTCATGTATTGAAGGTTCTGCCCCCGTTGGCTCTGTGTATGTTGGGGACCCGGGGCGGACTGACCATTTGGAAAGTCGGGCACTGCCCGAGGGCCCGGGGTCAGTAGGGGGCCCCATGAGATGCCCCTGGTACCTTTTTTTTTCATAGGCTTTTTTGAGTTTGGACAAGGACACAGGGCCCTATGATCCCTATTGGCCGGGGGCCCCATGAGTTGTCAGTCCGCCCCTGGTGGGGATTCAAATCTTTGCAGAGCGACTGCCGAGACGTCAGGATAGGTCGCATGTCTTCAGTCCGCATGGCTGGTATTGATGAGGAGGAACAGTAAAGTACAATCACTGCGAGGAACTTCTAGCTGCAATGCACACCCTGTGTGTGCAATATATTCGAATTCAGAAGACGGCTGTATTCTTTCTATTCTGTTTTCCTTTTCTATTCTATTCTTTTTTTTTAATCTATTCTATTCCTTGTCCTATTTTATTCTATTCTTTCCCTATTTTTTTTTCTATTCCATTCTGTTCTATTTTATTTTTTTCGAAATTTCGAATTTCATTCTATTTTCTTTAGTTTTTTCTGTTTTTTTCTTTTCTCTTTTTTATTCTATTTTATTTTCTATTCTATTCTTTTTTTTTCAGAAGACTGCTGTATTCTTTCTATTCTGTTTTCCTTTTCTATTCTATGCCTTTTTTTTTGAATCTATTCTATTCCTTGTCCTGTTTTATTCTATTCTTTTCCTATTCTTTTTTTTTATTCTATTCCATTCTGTTCTATTTCATTCTTTTTGAAATTTGAATTTCAGTCATTTCTACTTTTCTTCTTTTTCTGTTTCTTTCTTTTCTCTTTTTTTTTCTATTTTTATTTTCTATTCTTTTCAATTTCAGAAGACAGCTGTATTCTTTCTATTCTGTTTTCCTTTTTTTTCTATTTCTATTCTTTTTTCTAATCTATTTATTCCTTGTCCTATTTTATTCTATTCTTTACCTATTTTATTTTCTATTCCATTCTGTTCTATTTTATTCTTTTTGAAATTCGAATTTCATTCTTTCTATTTTTCTTCTTTTCTGTTTATTTTCTTTTCTCTTTTATTCTATTTTATTTTCTATTCTATTCTTTTTGAATTTCAGAAGACAGCTGTATTCTTTCTATTTGTTTCTATTCTGTACTTTTTTCTCTTTTATTCTATTCTCTTCTATTCTGTTCCATTCTATTCTTTTCGAATTTCAGAAGACAGCTGTATTCTTTCTATTTGTTTCTATTCTGTACTTTTTTTTCTCTTCTATTCTTTTCTATTCTATTCTTTTCGAATTTCGGAAGACAGCTATATTCTAACACTAAAAAAAAAAAACTTTGGATTTGGATACAAATTAAATCCCTGGAATTATTACTCAAAGCAAAATTTGATACGTTGTTCACATTTTGCTGTTCCGTATTGTCATTGTGGTATTTCATGTATTGAAGGTTCTGCCCCCATTGGCTCTCTGTATGTTGGGGAGTGAAATCTTTGCAGAAGGACTGCCGAGACGTCAGGATAGGTCACATGACTTCAGTCAGCATGGCTGGTATTGATGAGGAGGAACAGTAAAGTACAATCACTGCGCGGAAACGTCTAGCTACGATGCACACCCTGTGTGTGTAATGTCCCCCCCCCCCCCCCCCCCATGTCCATACAGACTACCAGTTCTTCCTAGGAACCAGTTTATATTGAGGCATTAAAGGATTTTGATTGGATAAGACGTTCGCACTTTCTTGTGTAGCCTCATTAAAAATCGCTGTATGGCGGGCGCTCGTATGAGTACGCTGATGGCGATTATCTTGGACACGGCCGCGCTTTGCTCCCATGATCCTCTGCCAAGTCTTTCAGGAAGACGGGAGAGGTGCTGATGTTTGGCCATTGAGGTCTTCCAACAATTTCCTGCATCCGATAGACTGTATCCCCTCCGCCGCACGACGCGCCGCGTCCGCTATATACAGAGGGCAGGAAGTGCTATGACTGTCCCCGGGGGGGGGGGGGCAGCACACAGACCTGAAATATCATCATCAGTGGCATGTACAGTGACCTTTCCACCACGCCGGACCACCAGGAGGGAGGGTGCAGGAAGAGGCGCTGGTCACTGGGCTCATATATTGTACGATACATTGTGACCCGGGATAGGGGACCTCCCACAGGAAGGGTCAGATGACAACAGGATGTTCTGGTCTTAGATTGTTTGCAGTTTTGCACCCGTAGTTGTCCCAATTCCTGCACTGTCAGACCTCAGATCACCCCCATTCCTGCACTGTCAGACCTCAGATCACCCCAATTCCTGCACCGTCTGACCTCAGATCACCCCCATTCCTGCACCGTCTGACCTCAGATCACCCCAGTTCCTGCACCGTCAGACCTCGGATCACTCCAATTTCCTCACCGTCAGACCTGGGATCACTCACCCCAGTTCCTGCACCGTCAGACCTCAGATCACCCCAGTTCCTGCACCGTCAGACCTCAGATCACCCCAGCACCGTCAGACCTGCACCGTCACCGAGACCTCAGATCACCCCAGTTCCTGCACCGTCCTCAGATCACCCCAGTTCCTGCACCGATCACCCCCCAGTTCCTGCACCGTCCGACCTCGGATCACCCCCATTCCTGCACCGTCAGACCTAAGATCACCCCAGTACCTGACCTAAGATCACCCCCCCCAGACCTGCACCGTCATCCTGGGATCACCCCCATTCCTGCACCGTCAGACCTGGGATCACCCCCATTCCTGCACCGTCAGACCTGGGATCACCCCCATTCCTGCACCGTCAGACCTGGGATCACCCCCATTCCTGCACCGTCAGACCTGGGATCACCCCCATTCCTGCACCGTCAGACCTGGGATCACCCCCATTCCTGCACCGTCAGACCTGGGATCACCCCCATTCCTGCACCGTCAGACCTGGGATCACCCCCATTCCTGCACCGTCTGACCTCGGATCACCCCCATTCCTGCACCGTCTGACCTCGGATCACCCCCATTCCTGCACCGTCTGACCTCGGATCACCCCCATTCCCACCTCAAGACCACACCCCTGATTTCTGCACCATCAGACCTCCGATCAGCCCGAATTTCTGCACCTTCACACCTTGCATCACCCCAATTCTAGCACCATCAGACCTCTCCCCAATTCTTGTATAATCAGACTTCAGATCACCCCAATTCCTGCACCATTATCTGTAAATCCCAAATGGTCTTTTTTTTTTTTTTAACTTTTGGACAGAGTCCTGCAGTGTTACACCTTTCTGTCTGGCTGTATTTGTAAAGAACCCCACTAGGGAGATTTTGCTTCACTTCCTGTCATGGTGACACCCATACAAGAAATGGGAGAAGAGGTTGTCACCAGGACAGGAAGACCCAGAACCATTAAATATTATCATAAGCTCTAACCCCTCCCCCACTAAAAGTTTTTTTTTTTTTCTTGTTTGTTGGAGAGGTTCCCCCTCACTTCCCGCCCTGGAAATTTCATACATTCTGTGAAGTCTGCAAACTTGTCAGATACTCAGAATCTCAGCGACTGGCCTCTCGTGTGGTAGTCTGCCCTTTTCTGGAGAAAACGTAACAAAACCCTTTGTGGCAGAAAGAGGAAGCCTCTGAAAATGTCTAATATGGGGTAATCGCCGTCCTGTTTCGTTATTTTATTTCACGATTTTATTGTTTGATGGAAAAGCACCCCTGCGGCCGGCGGCTGTGGGAAAAGAACAAAAACCTATTTTTATTCATTGCGATTCCTGAAAGTGAGCGTAGAACGTAGCACCGCCTTCAGGACGTTAGGCGGTACTGCATTACGTAAACGTACAGCTGTTGTTTTTCATTGAGTGTTTTTTGTTTTTCTTTTTTGTCGTCTATAATTAAAATAAATATTATCAGAATTCACACCCAATCCTTCCTCCGCACTGAGTGTTCTATAGGAGGCCTCATGGACATGGGCAGGACAAAAGCCACTTTTTAAAGGCATTTTTTTTTTCTTCCCTCTGAACGCAGCTCCATTTCAGCACATCCACGCCCATTGTGGTGTTTAGATTTGTATTTTTTTTTTATTTTTTGTAAGCTCCCCTGCATAGAAAGGGGAGCTTACTGACATATTTTATGCACATAAACGCACGCAAATGTAATCCATTGGATATATTAAATTATAAAATTCTGGGCAGTAGAATGAGTTTACATCATCATCATGCCTCTAGAGGCCTATAAACGCATCTAATTACGCTCCAAAATCCTAGACACCGACCTGTCTTTTCAGCCCCAAATCCAATCTCGTATGAAATCTTGTAGATTTTGCCTTCCTAGCATCTCCAAAGTACGCCCCTTTTTTAACCAATGAAACCACCAAGCTGCTCGTTCACTCTCTGGTTATCTCTCACCAGGACTATTGCAACTCCCTTCTCAATAGCTCTGCCTCTACTCAGGATATCCTCTGAGCAGGGGCGGACTGACCATATGGAAACTCGGGCACTGCCCGGGTCAGTAGGGGGCCCCAGGAGATGCCCCTGGTACCTTTTTCTTAGGCTTTTTTGAGTTTGGGCAAGGACACAGGGGCCCCATGATCCCCTATTGCCCGGGGGCCCCATGAGTTTTCAGTCTGCCCCTGCCTCTGAGGGTATCATGAATGGTGCTTCTAGACTCATCCACCTTACCATCCGCTCAGTTTCCACCACCTTTCTCTGCCAATTCCTCCACTGGGCTGTATTCAGTGTCCTCCAGTCCTCTGCCAATCCCTCCATTGGTTTCCATTCAGTGTCCTCCACCTCTCTCTGCCATTCAGCTTCCTCCACCCCTCTCTGCCAATCCCCCATTGGTTTCCCTTCCACGTTCTCCACCCCTCTCTGCCAATCCTTCCATTGGCTTCCCTTCCATGTCCTCCACCCCTCTCTGACAATCCTTCCATTGGCTTCCCTTCCACGTCCTCCACCCCTCTCTGCCAATCCCTCCATTGGCTTCCCTTCCACGTTCTCCACCCCTCTCTGCCAATCCTTCCATTGGCTTCCCTTCCATGTCCTCCACCCCTCTCTGACAATCCTTCCATTGGCTTCCCTTCCACGTCCTCCACCCCTCTCTGCCAATCCCTCCATTGGCTTCCCTTCCACATCCTCCACCCCTCTCTGCCAATCCCTCCATTGGCTTCCCTTCTACTTCCTCTACCCCTCTCTGCCACCAATCCCCCCTCTCAATTGGCTTCCATTTTTAGTGTCCTCCACCCCTCTCTGCCAATTCCTACAATGGCTTCCATTCAGTGTTTTTTCACCCCTCTCTGCCAATGCCTCCATTGTCTTCCCTTCCACGTCCTTCACCCCCCCCCCCTCTGCCAATCCCTCCATTGGCTTACCTTTCAAGTCCTCTACCCCTCTCTACCATCCCCTCAATTGGCTTCCATTAGTGTCCTCCACCCCTCTGCCGATCGCGCCATTGGCTTCCTTCCATGTCCTCCTCCCCTCTCTACCAATCCCTCTATTGGCTTCCATTCAGCGTCCTCCACCCCTCTCTGCCAATATCCCCCCCCCCCCCCCCACTGGCCTCCATTCAGTGTCCTCCACCCCTCTCTGCCAATCCCTCCCACTAGCTTCCACTCCTTGTCCCCCATCCCTCTCTGCTAGAGAGGGGTGGCTGGTTGCCATGCACAGCTGCTCCAGATTCTGTCCCCTCATTGTGCTGCGTGCTGTCCTGTGTGCCATGTTCGGTCCTGTATGTTCCGTTCTTCCCAGGTGGTGTTTTCTGTCCTTTGCCTCCTGTTCAGTCCTATATGTTTGGCGTTTTTGCCCTTGTGCTGAATTCTGTTATGTGCATTGTGTCCGCCCTAGGTGCTGCCTTCTGTCCTGTGCCGCTTGCTTAGTCCTGCACATTGGGTACATCTTTGGTCCTGTGCACTGAATTTGAATGCGTGTTGCATTCAGTGCCCTGCACTGTCTGTTCTGTGAGTTACGTTTTGTTGGGCTGACCCATGTTCTACTATTCAGGTCTGCTAAATTAAAAAATGTAACAAATTTAAAAAAAAAAAAAAAAAAAAAAAATGTACGCAACTTGTCAGCTTAGCAGACTATGCAGTATGTGTTAACTCTTTATGTGTAACTGATAACAAGTCACTGTGAATAATTACATGGGGCTTATAAACGTGCGTCTACAAACAGTGGTTCTCAACGTTTCTAGCGCCGCGACAACAATTTTGCATGCAGCAAATGTTACCCTTTGGTGTCAAGTGCCAATCATCAACAGTGGGAAGAATAGTGCCCCGTGGTTTTCAGTGGGAGGAAATAGTGCATCATTGGTAATCAAAAAATGTAACCCCGTCATTGTGTCTGTGGGAGGAAATGTGCAATTGGTGTCAGTGCAGGAAGTGCCCCATCATTGGTGTCAATAGTATAGGTGTCAGTGAAAAATCATTGGTGTCGCCCTTGTGCTTTAACAAGTCAGGAATGTGCACAAAATAGCACCCATTTGGTGTCCACAAGAAAAAATAATCCTTGGTGTCATGCATTTTGCCCCATCAAGACATAGTAAAATCCTTGTCAAGAATAATGTGCCCCACCTTGGTGCAAAGTGCCCCATGTGTCTTGGTGTCATGCGTGCCCCATCCTGGACCCATTATGCCACCATCGTGCAGCGGGGAATGTGCCAATTGTGGGGGACAAAATGGACGCCGCATCTCAAAAAGTAAGTTTAAATGAAAAAGCATTTGATAAACCCCTGAACTGACACTGCACCGCTCGATCTTTCGCGGTGCACTTTGGCCGTATAATGTGTGTCTCCAATGAGCTTAAAGTGTAACCAATGGGGCGCAGCATCCCGCCCACACAATTTCCTACTTATGGATGGAGCATGCACCCCTGTGGAAGCGTCAAAAGGTCGCACAACAATCTTGCATGCAGCAAATTTCCCTTTTAAGTGCCAATTCAAGACAAAAGTCAGTAAAGAACAATCGCCCACTTAGTAGGTTTCACTTTTGTGCTTTGCAGGAATGTGCACAAAATCGCACGCTTTCCCACAAGGACAATGAAATGCACTGCCGTTTTTGCAGACTCGTGGTAGTGCCATTTATTCTCAATGGCCCCCCCCCCCCCCCACGTATCTGGGAACATGCACCGTGCTCTTCGGTGGGGCCCGATTTCTCAAAAGTCAAGGACTTATTTTGAGCATTTCTCGCACATTGGGCAGCTCACAGTAAGTTCATGTCTGATGACAGATATAGTGTGCATTAATGTAGCACCGTATGCAATTGTCTACAATTTATGGATCGGATCTGCGAATTGGGGAGCATAATGGATCCATTATGCTCAATCCGCAGATCTGAACCATCCTGCGGGGATCTATATACCTATATGGGGTGACACCGGACCCGCTCCATGAAAAGCTAAGTTGTAAAGAAAGCCGACGATCCCCGCAGGATGGATGGGATCTGCGGATTGAGCATAATAGATCGGAGTCCGATCCATTATGCTCAATCCGCGGATCCGATCCATTCTGCGGGGATCGTCTGCTTTCTTTACAACTTACCTTTTCGTGGAGCAGGTCCGGTGTCACCCTGCACCGGGTGACACCAACCCTAGGGACGCCCCTGACTAGACATAAAACAACAATATATGGGAATCCATAAGGAACTACCAAGTAACTGTTATGATCCGCCAGGTGGTGCCTCAGGCTGCCCACTGGACAGACCTACCCAGAGCATGGAGTCTAAGCCCCGGTCTGTGTGTTCACCAGGGCCCCTGATGGTGGGGATGGACTTGTAACAGACCAGGGCCAGGTCACGACCTCCGAGCAGGCCCACCAGTGGCAGAGGGAGCCTCCGGGGATGTATGCAGGTACCGGGAGAGCCAGATGTGAAAAGGACGGCGGGTCCTAGCAGGATGGTCACGAGCCGTGGTCCCGTGGGATAAGCGAGGTACTGGATCGGCAGGCGAAGAGTAGTCAGGTCACACGCAGGGCCAGCAGGATAAGTCAGTCCGCAGAATGGTCAAACAAGCCGGGGGTCAGGACAGGAGAAGGCAGCATAGTCAGGGCAATCCGGGTCAAAGCACAGGAGAAGGCAGCGTAGTCAGGGCAATCCGGGTCACTAAACAGGTACCGGAACTTCAGGATCACAGATAGACCTTGCGGCGATCAGTGACAGTGCAGGGCATCTTTAAATATTGCGCCCTGCACTGACATTGGCCGCCCAGGACGCGCCCCCGGGCTGTCATTGGCCGCCCGAGGCTCCTACTGCGCATGCGCGGCATCCTGTCATCTGCGGCTCGCCGGGACCTGGTGCTTGTGTCCTGGCGCGAGCCGTCGCCAGTGCGCGTGCGCCGGCCGACAGGACGCCGCGATCCCTGACAGTAACATTACAGGTTGAAAGGTGAGGTCCAGGAACCCAAGATTTCGGGGTGCCTAATCGCCCCATTCTGAAAGATCCTTCTTGCACAAGTTGGGCTTCTGGACCTCGCCTTTCAACATGTAATGTTACTACTTGGTTGTCCCTTTTATAGATTTTCCCATATGTACACCAAAAGTACAAACGAAACCAGCGCTCAAATCTTCATGCAGACGAGGAGAAATACTGAATGTCTGACGTTGAGGTGCAGCCCTTCAAAGATCGGGAAATCTTGATATTGGTGAACAAAAGCAAACAAGGGCGCACTCTCATCATGCATTGCCGTGGTATACCACAAATTTAATCAAAACTCATAAAGATGTATACTAACAAACCAAAGCGGGTAAAAACAGAGCAGATGTATCTGTAATGTCAGACCAATGGAATAATAGACCCTTCTAGGAATAGGCTAACGCGTTTCGGGAGCCGGACTCCCTTCTTCAGAGCTAAATAAAACTCTGAAGAAGGGGGTCCAGCTCTTTGGTTTGTGACTATACATCTTTAGGATTTTTTATTAAATTTGTGGTATCCTACGGTAATGCATGATGAGAGTGCGCCCTTGTTTGCTTTTGTTTACCATTATCAAGATTTTCTCATATATTGCACTTTATGTCTGTTATTAGACCTGAATATGTTACTGATCTCTGTTAGGACTTTCTTTTCGACTTCTATAATATTTAAAATTATTCCATTTTTAAAATACCTATTTTTTTGGGGGTGTTCTTGGTCTTTACTACATTTGTGTTCAGTTTTGGGGGGAGAGGATGGCGCCCAGTTGAGTTTATAGCACCCTTTAAAATTTATGCTTGTAATGCTTCCATGTATGATGTGCGAAGGGACAAACTAACTGTCTTTAATGTGCTGATGTCTGGCTGCCTTTTCTCACTTCTCGGCTTTTGCGTCCTGTGCTGTCTCCTCTGTTTGTCGCCACCGCCTGACCGCAGTTGTCCCCGGACCTCAACAGACTGAAGGAGAGATATAGCCGCACTAAGAGAGACCTCCTGGCTCTGAGGGTCAGGAGAAGAGATGTCCGAGAGCTCAAACAGAGATATGACTGTAAGGTACAGCGTGCCATGTCACCGGCCCGTCCTTCATCCACCATTCTCTCCATGCATGCCTTCCATCGCTCATCTCCACCATCAATGTGTGTGATGTCACCGCGCAACTGAGCACCATCTCACCTGAGTTATTCAATCATTGCCTCCCAACAGAATCTGTTTAATATTGTCGTAAAAATGTCCTTTGTTTTGGGTCAAAGCTGTACATATAAGAGAGATGTTTATCATACAGAGGATTTCTACTTCTGACCCTGCAATCCTGAGATTCACACAGCTCTGCCACACAGTACAGCCAGGTGTGTGGCACGTCCCACAGTTTAGGAATACAGCCGTGTCGTCCCCCCCCCCCCCCCCCCCCCCCATACCAATCCTGGTGACTGGACAGTGAAGGAGCAGCTGAAGACAGAGAAGGTCACAACTTTATCCCTCTCCAGCTCACCTGATTGGTTTCCAGTCCTTTCATTCCCCCTTCCTATCCCTGTCTCCTGATGTCCCTCTCCTGTCTGTTTTACCTTCTCCATTCCCTCTCCCTCTTCCTCTCCTCCCTCTTCCTCCCTCTTTCTTCCTTCCTCTTCCTTCCTCCCTCTTCCTCTTCTTTCCTCCCTCTTCCTCTTCCTTCCTCCCTCTTCCTCTTCCTTCCTCCTCTTCCTCTTCCTTCCTCCCTCTTCCTCTTCCTCTCCTCCCTCTTCCTCTTCCTCTCCTCCCTCTTCCTCTTCCTCTCCTCCCTCTTCCTCCCTCTTCCTCTCCTCCCTCTTCCTCTCCTCCCTCTTCCTCCCTCTTCCTCTCCTCCCTCTTCCTCCCTCTTCCTCTCCTCCCTCTTCCTCTCCTCCCTCTTCCTCCCTCTTCCTCTCCTCTCCTCCCTTTCCTCCCTCTTCCTCTT